TATTTCTATTGGCCCAAAACGGGGCACGGGGGAGTCATGCACATGAGCGGGGAAGTGCGGGGGTCACGCACATGCAGGGGGGAATGCAGTGGGATCACATGTGCATGTGCAGGGGGGCACATTGCATTATGGGTGCTGTCGTGCACATGCATGTGATTTTGGTATGCGAGGACAAAAAGGTTAGCTATCACTGGTCTCGGGCCAATAGAAATAGCTATAATTAGACACTAAATGAATATTAACACATAAATTAGAACTTCTGCCCTGAGAACATGTTCAAATAAGTTTCTCTTTCTTTTAGATGCATTGGAACAACATCACCAATGTAGTGCGTGCTTTTTCTTCATCAACACTGTGTTCTATTAAACATAGAATTCTCAAACTTTTAACATCTTAGCAAACCTCAGATTCCCCACAGACTCTGCTAATGATAAGTCTTTTCCATGGCAACAAGCAATTCATGCTTTGTAAAATTAACTGAAATAAAATAATACGCTTGTTGCTGTTTTTAGCTAGATTTGGAAACTAGGAATGAGTACGTTGGCTGTTAAAACTGTGGAGTTTTTTAAAGCTTCTGATTTTTAAGGGAGCATTTGCAACTTCAAAATGGAAGTGTAATCCTTGGCTGCAAATAAGGTCAAAAATGGGAATTCTAGGCCAGTGAGCCAGAACAAATGGGAGCCAACCTAACATTGGAATTTGCTTTGGAGAACAAGTACATAAGCAAATTCCTGAGATCATTCAAACAGCCTGTCAAAACAATTCTTGGAAGTGGGTCATAATTCAAATATTTCAAGTGGCGTTCAAAGGTGAGATGATGGGTGGGGGAAGGCATCTTCTTTAAATGTTCTTGCCAGCTCAGCTCCTTGTGTTCTGCAAAACCAACAGGGGGGGAGAGGTGTGGTGTGCTTGGCAAAAATTCCCCTGCTATAATTTGAAAACTCCAGTTGGAGACATTTCTATAATCAGCTTTCTTGTTAGGAAAGTCTTCTACATTTTTAAGGAGACTCCCCACTATCACTTTTTTTCCCCGTTTTCCAACAGAGGCCATTAATGTTTTTTCCCCCTTTGCTAGTAAGAAGGAAACTATTTAGTATTAGTGATCTGGGCAGGAAACAATACAAAAGAACAAGCTCTAATTATTAAAATATCTTAGAAGGAAAGTGCATATTTGACTTGGAAATGAGGTAGCAATATAGAGGCAATTTGCAGCGACAAAACCCTGTTCCCTTTTCTCCCAATCTTCTGATGGAAGTGATTGGAAATCTGATATCTTTATAAAGGCTCCACTAGGAGACATTATCAATGTAATAACCCATTTGCACAGGTTTGGTGGTGGTGGGAGCTAGGATCTTCTCCTTCGTATTATAAATGCCTATTCAAATTTATATATATATGTATATGTATCACATATATGCATGTGTCATAAATGTCTGTGCAATAAATCATGATGAACTCAAATGCAGATACAATTCCTGTTTCTAAAGGTGCTTTAACTCTTTTTAAAAAAAATCCATTTTTAAAAAAATCTGCTAATTGGTCCTATCCTGCTTACAAAGAACTCGCAGAAGAGACTTTGGACACCTGCTCTGCAGTTCACAAAAAATGGCCTTCAGCTTGTGGAATATTTGAACATAAGCCTATTATTTCTAGAGCTCTAAAAAAGCAAGTTCCTGTATTTAGATCAAAACATGACCCATGTGGCTAGAACAAACAGTAAAAGTGGGAGGTTAGTTGGAGAAGTGTCATCAAGCAGGGTTGAATTTTTGATAGAAATCTTGAGTTCTCAAACAGAGGAACTGATCCAGATGTGAAGTCTCCAGATGAAAAGAACAATGCAGGGCAATATCAAAGTCGTTCTAAAAATTAAAAAAAACCACTGTGGTGATAAGACTGCACTTCATCCCTAAATTAGCCCTGAATATCTCACTTAAAAGCAGGATTTTAATGAAGGCCCAGATTGTTGGGGGCCATATGCTGACTCTGTAAACTGCTTAGAGCGGGCTATAAAGCACTGTGAAGCAGTATATAAGTCTAAATGCTATAGCTATTTGCTGGTAGTTTAATCTGAGGTTATTAGAGAACTTTTTCCAGTCATAGGATGGCATTGTGTAGGGGTCATTCAATAATTAGTATAGCAGAAATGTGAAATTTGTCTAACAAGTATACTGTGGCTGACTTCATGAGCTGCTGCCACTTAAAATAGAATAAATACATCATATTTCAGATTTATGAAGAACAGAATTAAAAACCACATTTGGTGAATAAGCCGTCTGAGCTTTCCCTGTTCCCTCTAGGAGTTGTCTCAAAAATCCTACATCTCCAACAAAGGACTTGTTTGATTTTTCCCCACAGCAATACAATTCCTGCCATTCTCAGCCAACAATGGTCCTGCTGTTTGGAGATGATGGAGATTGTATCATGACCCATCTGTGGAGGGCAATCATATGGAAGGGTGATTTAATGCTACTGTATAGAATGCCTGCCTGTTATACCATTCTGTAAGAAATTCTGCAGAGGCAGAAAGGGGCAGCAGGGGACTCAAACAAGCCGATCTGTCCAAAATGTGGATTGGGAGGAGGCTACATTAATTTCAACAGTTCTTGCCATGTACATTTCATCATCAAGGATATGCACCATCTCTGGTGAACATTAGCAGATTTTAGTCTACCTTAATTGGAGAGCAACAGCCAGTCTGCTCCCTCCTGTTCCTTGCACTCACCTTAAATCCCTCCTGTTTGGACCTGCTTTTCTGCTCTCCACTGGGTAGATTGGTTGAACCCTAGTCCTTTGTAATGGAAATGGGAATATAATTGTGGAAAATTCAAATCTGAAAACAGAGTTCAAGCATTGTGAGCATTATTTCAGATTGGATGCCGAAAGGGTTCAATTTGCCTACAAAATAATTCCAGCACATATAAAGCTGTACATTTAAATGTGGCCTATTTGCACATTCCAATTCCCAGCATGTTTAAAAATTAGATCACTTAATTTAGGTGAGTGAGTATAGCTAACAATTTTGTTCTTGGGTTTCTGTCTATTTCACTAGTTGAAAGCATCCAGTACGTGTGACAATTTCTACCTGTTTCTACCCTTGTGATTGCAGTAGGACAAAGTGCTGCCTTGTTATGGGTTATAGATCTAATTAAAGAAGATGACTGTCCTTTGGCTACTATAACCTTTAGCTCATCTTGCTGATTGTTGATTTTAGTCAGCCTTAAAACAAAAGTTATAAATGAATAACTCTCCTACAGAGATTTGATCTTCACTTCCTGCAAATAATTACTTCCATGGTCTAATTAAAATAAACTGCATTTTTATAAATCTTTATAAAGAAAAAGAACATTGGGTCTCATTATCCAAAAGTTTATGTTGTAAAAAGCAACTACAAAAGCAATTTCATTATAGAATAAATCCCACGTATATATTTACGATTACTGCTTGTAATGGTTTCACATAGTTTCTATTTATTTTTCAGTAATCATAAACCAATCAAATAGGTGAGTGGTATTGTTGCCATATAACTGAATAGTCTTAAAACTATGATAGTCTTCTGCAATCAGTAGCCTTCTGGATTCCTTTCCTAACTTCTGGTTGAATGCAAAACAGTTATAATTTAATTTAATTTTCCAGGCAAATAGTTTTTAGTCTAAAACCTAACAAAGCAAATGGATGTCCCTTTTATATATCTTTGAAGATTCTACAGATTATGCCTTTTCCCCAAGCTATTTGGTATGCTCAGCAGTGGATTTATTTTTAAATGTTATATCCTGCAAACTTCTCATTATCACCATTCACAACGGTTTTGAAAGAAGTCCAAGTATGGTGGGCTACCATAACCACTTTCTATCGTCTTCAAAGGTCTAATTGTTTTGTTAGCTTCTGTCTTAAACTTCTAGCACAAATCAAGATGTGAGGGAAAAAAATAAATTATTTGAATGTTTTGTGCTGTTCATCAAAGCAACATGGTAATGTTGCTCTGGATAGTTATCTCACACTTTTATATTTTACATGGAGAATATTTAAATGGGATTTAGATTTTGCTCTCTCCTACTATATGTCTTACCTTATCAACAACAATCTGGAATTTATACTATAGGAACGATACCACTCTATAGTATAAGATAAGGATAAAGGTTTCTTCTATCCAGTTGGGTTCCAATCTAGACAGAGGTGCTTAGTCGAGGGAGCCAGTGTGTCCAAAAATGTTTCCATGTAGCCAGCATGACATCACGCCACAGCGCAGAACGTGCAGCAAAACATGGAACACTGTTACCTTCCCACCAAAGTGGTACCTATTTATCTACTCACATTTTCATGCTTTCAAATAGCTAGGTGCTGAGGTAGGAATGGGAGCTTGGCCCATTGTGCAGCGCTGGGGTCTAGAACCTAGGCCCGTGATGGTCAACCTATGGCACATGTGTCCAAAGTGGCATGCAAAGCCATGTTGCCTGGCACGCGAGCCATCACCCCAGCTCAGCTCCACCGCGCCTGCACGGACACCTTCCGCCGGCTAGCTGATTTTCGTGTCTCTGCTGTGCATGCCCCTGTGGTCCGTTTTTGGTCCCAGAAGGCTGCAGGGATGCCTATTAGGCCCAAAATGGGGCAAGGGGGAGTCGCACACACATGCATGGGGGGTGGGGGTGATCACATGTGCATTGCATTATGGGTGCAGGTGCATACACAAGTTTTTGGCACACAATGACAAAAACATTAGCCATCACTGATCTAGGTTGTCAGCTTCCTAACTGCTGAGTTATCCCCCCTCTCCACTGTACAGTATACAATTAATAAAACTGTAATTACATTCATTGTGGCCACAATTGATTTGTGTCCACAAATATCAGCCATATCAGCCCTGTTCTTCCAGCAAAGGAATTAAACACCAAAATTGTTCACTGAAGGATTACCTCAATCGTGAGGTGACAGAATTGTCATTTGAAATTAAATTTTCTATCAGTTATACATCATGAAGTAATTGCATTGAATAACCAATGAATAAATATTTCAATCTCTAGGAATGCTTCCTGAGACCTAGCTTATTTTTTATATTTATAATGTAACTATTGCCTTTAAAAGTCCTAAACGGCTTTTAACAATGCTTGGCAATAATATCACGCAACCAAGATCTTCTACAGCAATGTTTGTCAAATCCAGCAACTTTTAAGAAGAGTGGACTTCAACTTCCAGAACTTTCCAGCCAACATGCTGATGTCCACATATCTTAAACGTTGCCAAGTTTGACAACCCCTGCATCTTTTAAGGAAGGGCTCTGCCTCCTTAAGCACTAAAAGATAATTTGCCTAAGTATCAGAAAGCAAAAAGCTAATTGTCCTGTCTCCATTGCTCAATAGTGATTAAAAGATGGGTACATTTCTTTCAGCCTCAGCACCTTGAGCTGAGAGCTTGGAATCTGAGAGCTGCTGACAGAGAAAGATCATAGCTATCAATACTTTCCCCCCATGCAATTGCCGTCCTCAAGGGCTTGTTTTCAAAGGTCAGAAGATCTTCCTCATTGTGGTGGGAGCGTCAAGACACCAAGTGGTAAAAAGCTGGTTGAAAATTGGGCACATAGAATATACCCAGTGGTGGGATCCTACCGGTTTAACAATCGGTGGTTCGGTGATCGCACGCTTCGCAGTTTGGAGAAAATTTACCTTCTGCCTTACTGCTGTGGAGGAAAACAGCTGAGGCATAGCAATCTGCTGTGCCATGTGACTCAGCTGAGAAGATATAGGTAAGTAAAGTGTAGGGGCAGGCCAGCGGGCGGGCGGGCCTACTTGCTCATCGGAGCGAACCGGTTCGCTCCCAGCTGATCATCGGAGCTACCAGTTCGCCCGAACCAGTCTGAACCGGTAGAATCCCACCCCTGAATATACATATATCACCGTTACATTTCTTAATTCCTGTTTAATTGCCCTGTTAAAATCCACCCCATTAAAGAAGGTCTGGTGACTCACAGAAGCTTAGATGCAGTTCTGGAAAGCCCTTCCCTTCGGTCTCTTCTATCAGTGTTTCTCAGACCCAAGTTAGTATCCTCTTCAGTGAAGATTTAGAAGTCTTATGCAGAATTTGTTATTATGTGAGCAAGATAGGAAGCATGCTAGAGTCTCTGAATATTAAGACAGCGGATATATTGCACAAATAAGTCAGGATGATGAGTGTTGGTCCAATCCATTTGGAGAGCACTGGATCCATAACTAGTTCATAAGTCCGTCAGGTTCGAGCAGAATAAAGAGCCCACAAGTTTTTCAGGTCTACAGAACCTTTCACCAGGGGAGACATTGAGTGAAAAACCAGCAAATCCCCTAATTAAACCACACACTTCGTCCATGATGTCTGCTGTTTCACGCCAGTTATAAACCGAGAGTTTGTGGTGTGTCCCAGAGCAACATTTCTCCTACCATTTTCCTTCCCACTTTCAAGTCCTCTGTCAGGTTGCGCCACATCCTCAAACGTTATTGTGTAAGCCCTTGTTGTGTGTCAGTAAGATAAAAGAGTAGCCTGGAGTTTCCACAAGGGAGTGTCTGTTTCTTTTAACTGATACGGGGGCTTTGGTAACACTCTCTGGCTCGGTCAGTTTGGACACGCCGTTCCGAGGTGATCTTTAAAGCAGTGCCAGTTTCAGTTTAAAAGGGATTCTAAAGGCCAAGGTCCCCGCCCCCACTTTTTCTCTGTCCATAGGTGATCACAATTTCTCATGCTGATATAAAACAGTCCGGGGTGTTTTTTTTTCTGATTGCTCAGCTAATTGAGGTTATAAGGAAATGTTTTTGCAACAATGAAATGCTTCTACTTCACTTCCTGGATAGATGTGATATAGCCTCATTGCTTTATAACACAGTATAAAAGCAGAAAGAAAGAAGAAATAGTCTCATGAACACCTGCCAAACCAGAATGAAACATATACAATACTGCAATCAATGAAGCAACAATGGCAGTTCCTGACTAGGGGGAAAATAAAAGGGACAGCTTAGTTTTGGTGTTGATTGCATGATGAATGCAAATACTTATTTATCTTGTAGGTTAAGAAAAGAGCAATCTGTAATCTGTCCATTACAGTGGGAAGTCATGATGGTTGTAAAGCGAGTCACCCATGTGACTATTTCTTCTTT